TAAAAACCGGCCAAGAGGTGGCAAGTCATCATTATCATCATCATCATCATCACCATCTGCATCACTATCACCAGCATCATAATCATCATCATGATGATCGTCATCATCATCATCGTCATCATCATCATCATCATCATCGTGATGTTATTCCTCCTGAGCGTTGGGCTAAGGCGGCTAAGCGTTTCTCTGTCCTGTGTTGCTCTTCCTTCCTTCTGACCTTGTTCGGTGACTATTTACTTGCGTGGTCTCGTTACATGTGATACCGCTGTTGGTACGAGAAGCTTGTCAGTGCTACAGGGTGCGGTGAAGAGTTGGGTATTCTTGGGGCCTGCACGAGTCCCGTGCGACCATACACCAGCCCCGCGCAAGCTAAATGTGAGGAGGGGTACTTCTGTTTCTTGCAATCTTGACCTCCGATCCCTTGGAGAACTAGGCCAGACAGGACACATCATGAATAATATAAAGAGGGAGGGAGGGAAGGAGAGGGAAAGCGAGAGAACCACTCTGGTAGTGGGGCCGATCTCAACCAAAGATCGCGCACACTACAGGATCGCGAAGAAATTGAAGATTTGATGGCACACAAGATACGAGAAGGGCATTGGAAACGTCATTAAACCCTCAACTTACTTTAAATTTTGCCTCAAAGCACTAAAGCCTAACGCGCCAAAACCCCGAAGCAGTAAACTTGCTGCTTACTGCTCTGCTTTCATGCCCGAGTGCCGGCCCAGAGGGGAGCCGCGAAGTCGGAAAGAGACGGGAGGACAGCTGCCTTGCCGGTGTCCAGGCCTCGCAGAAAAGGTTGATAACATCAGCCTTCGAACTGTTCTGAAAATGTCTTCAGAATTAAGAAAGCTAAGGTCCTATTGTTTGCAAGTATAGGATGTAGGCTGTAATGAAGGTCCTTCAGCGCTGGACCTAGTCTAGGCCCCAGGCTTTTCATTTAAACTGAACTTAAGCAGCATTGATCTCTGCAGTCTCTGCGGACGTGGAAGCCTGTCTAATTTCTGGCAGATACTTGCAGTTTGAATCTATAAGGTTATAAGTCACCATCAATCGTATAGGTTACAAGCTATAACTATAGTAGTTTTACTTATAACCCAACTTATACCATCTCATAACCCCAACACCCTAAACCCTAAACCATCTTATAATGATCATGAACCTCCAAGTAGGGTGGAGGTCTTTACGGCTTTCGGCCATCAGGATTCGAACTGCCGGGTCGGAGGGTTTAGGGTTTAGGGTTTAGGGTTTAAGGTTTAGGGTTTAGGGTTTAAGGCTTAGGGTTTAGGGTTTCGGGTCGGAGCCCTTGGAGTGTGAGGGTATGGGGACCGCGGGTGGGGAGGTCTCTTTGGAGTGCTTCTCTCCTGTAATATAGGGGCCTCAATAAATACCTATACTATTTGGGGGGCTCCTTATTACAATTATAGTATCATATACCCCAAAAACCAATTCTAATTATTAAGGCCCCTATATTAACCTATTCAAGGGTTTAGGCTTCAGGATTTGAAGCTTAAGGGATTCAGGGTTCAGGATTTAGAACTGAAAGGTACGAGGTTTTGGCCTTTGAAGGTATTCAGCATTTCAGCGGTTAAAAGTGTAGGACCCGCTCAGTGTGTGTAACTCCTTCGTCATATTGTCTAGAGTCTAGATGTCATCACTGCTTCACAGCAAGAGTGTCTCACGATTTAGATGTTTAGGGTTCTGGCAACGTAAACGTTTAGGGAGAACTGCTCCGATATGACCAGCATCAACAACGGGACGATGACAAGCGAGAAATTTCTGATATGTCCATTGGCTAAGCCTGGCCCAGAATCATAATTTTAGGTCCCAGCCCATTGAGCAAAGCAAGAATAACAGTCAAGACAATCCTAGTACTGACTTCACACTTAAAGACTTGCTACTTAGGACTTACTACTCCCTGTTTGCTACTGGGTACGGGCCCAATTGCCGCTTGCTACGTGTTACTTTACATACGACTTACGTACTGCTGACGACTTCCTAAACTGCATACTACTCCCTACCTGCTGTCCCACTGCTTGCAAATTACTTAGCTGTTTCTACAAACTTCCTACGACTTGCCACATGCTACATACCATGTACTACGTAGTACCTACCTTCCGCACTCCACGCCCTGAACCCGAAAGCATCAATGAACCCTGAAGTAACCACAGCCAAACCCCGCATTCAAGCGGCGGAGATCTCGGTAGCTGCCCAAGTCATCCGACCAGAGAAGGCCTGGGTTCGGCCGTACCACGAAGAATGGCAAAACGGAAAGATCCATACTCAATCATGAACAACAGAAAAATGGTTTAGGGTTTAGGGTTTAGGGTTATAGTAAGACAACAATGATGATATGATGCAGGTTCCTGATTAACAGAATCCCGTTACTTAAGGGCCACAACACTGGGCACCTTGTAATGACCCTTGTTGAAGAAGGGGGCCGATACATCAGGGATTCACGACCCAGTCCCGGAAGGCCCAAAGCCCTGGCATTCGAAGCCAATGTAGGGGCCTTGATAATTAGAATAGGGTTTTGGGGGTTCCGTATTAATTGCAATAGAAAAACCCCAAACCCTATATTCAATGCTCACAGGGCACCCTCGAGTTTATTGCAAGCCCCGGTGCGGTCCACTGCGGCGCTGCGACGCTCTGCGGCTGCCTGGCGTTCATCTCAGGGCCCACTATAGGTTCTGGGCAAGGGAGCGGTGTAGGGCCGCGGGGGAAATGTCGGTACGCCAATGCAACATGCATGGCGACCACGGTGGCAAGACTTTGCATACGATCGGAATAGGATTCAAACCCAACACATGTTGGGGTTTCCGAAACTAGGGGACCCTAAGATAGCATCCCACATAGTAGGATCCTTACTATAAGGACCCCAGAATAGGGTACCCCTTATTTTCGAAAACTCCCATGTGCATAGGGCTGAAAAGGGACAGAACCGCCGGCATGGACGGGAATTCAGCGGCCCTTCCCTGAAGAGGCTGCAAGGCTCTATAACGAAAAGGCCGCTCACCAGGGTGCTTGGTTAATATAGGGGCCGAAATAATTACCAATATCATGTTATGGGCTCCTTATTATAGATATAGTGTAAATAGAAAGCCCCATCAACTCTATAAGCCCCGAGGCCCCAGAGATAATCCGTCATAAGGACAAACCTACGTCACGCCCTACTGTAGCTACGAGCTTTTGGGTTTTGGGGTTTATAGCATACCAGGAAAGGGGACGCCAAACTCTCAGCAAGCCTGAAATCCCAAAACCTTAAACCCTGATAAACCCCTGAACCCTAAAGATAGGCTTAATCCTCATACCTTACAACTACAGTACGAAAACCTACGACTTCGTAAGGTCTTAGTATGTATATATAATTAAATATAAACCATATATAACTATATATTTATGTGTATATATATATATATATACATATGTCGAACCCCAAGAGAGAATGGACCAGGGCCCTATTTTTGTAAACCATCCTCGCCTCCAAAGCGGCTGCACGGTCTTTGTCGCCGAGGTGGCGCGCGAAGGCGGCGAGGCGCTTTTCAAGGCGGAGGAGAATGCCTCTGGGGTTACTAATGGGGCCTTTCTAAGTAGGGGTTTTTGGGGCTATACTATAGTAGTATAGGTAGTTAGTAGTATGGGTAATTATTCAGGTCCCTATATTATGGGTCTGGGGCCGGCTGCAGCTCAGGGAGGGTTCTTTGGGCAGGATTTTGGATTTTAGGGTCTTTGGTGTTTGGGATTTTGCAAGGATTCGTTTGTGGGTGAGGCTTGAAGATTTCGTTCATGGTGCATGCTGAAATTGAAAGGGCCAGGGACACTTTAGAAAAATGTGCACGCAAAGATTACGGTAGGCGCTTTTCGCTGGCCCTGCCGGAAACAGAACGATTGCAGAATGCGGGGCCAGGGTGGAGGTCTTGCTTGTTGCTCAATGCTCTGAAGCAGACGAATGATCTCGATCAAGCAAGGAGCAGTTTAGATCCACCGGCACGACCTGGCTGGCGTTGATCGTGGCGAGGTCACTTGATCCGGCATCCTTGGGGCTCGTGCGCTGGCTTCTTTGTTTGATTGCTTGCTTGCTTAGTTATCATGGTTGGTTGGTCAGTTGGTTGGTTGGTTGGTTGGCTGGTTCGTTGGTTGGTGCTTGGTTGGTTGGTTGGCTGGTTGGTTGGTTGGTCGGTTGCTTTTTGGCTTCCTGGCTTGCTCTCTCTTGCTCGCCTGCCTGCCTGCGCGGCTGCCTGCCTGATTGCTATGTATACCTGCCAGCAAGGAGAGAAAAAGAGGGAGAACGCAAAGAGAGAGAGAGAGAGACAGACAACACAAGCCAAACAAACAAGCTTGGTAATCAGGCACATACAAAAAACCAGAAATAACACCAGATAAAGAGTGCATGAAACAAACGCATGAACAAGTACAGTATCAAAAACATACAAAAACATGTCAGCAATATGCAAATAAAAACTCAACCCACATCGTCCGTTGGCTTGCTAACTAACTGACTGACTGACTATTTACTATAGCTGGCTTCGCGGCTAGCCAAATCCGTAGCAAGCCGGTGAGGGTTTCTGCTGAAGTCTATCTCGCTGCATGGTGATTATCTAAGGAAGAGCTGATCTGCCCGGAGATCATGGCAAGCTTTTCCTCCACCCTTGAGGCGAGGTCTCTCGTGGTAAGATAAATCTGGCTTTTGGGAAACCAACACGACAGCTTATGATGAGAGTCAACACCAGCCCCCTTCCGAAAAAACAAAGAATACCAAACCTTCGCGTTTATGATAATAAGGAACGCCCCCAAATAGTATAGGCATTTATTGAGGCTCGTATATTACTACGAAGAAAGTACCGGCCAAACTCGCTGAACCCGCAACCCTAGAACCCTAAACACCGCAAGTCCTAAAATACTAAACTTCTGCTAAAACGCCTTGTGGAAGCATGCTGAAACCCTGAAGCCTGTCTAAACAAACGCCCCAAAAATTCCCCTATGAACGCATCTCACTCTCAAAGCCCTGGAACCTGTTTTTATCGAAACCCTAAACCCTATACTACTGTTGATGACATAAACCTGCAGTACCTCAAGGCTTAAGGACCCTGAACTATGGGAATGATGGTATATTCCTTATTATGGGTAATGCAGGATTTATATCATCAACCGTACGCCTTGTGAAAGCCAAGGCACCGAAGCCGCTCGCTGCAGCCAGCGTGTAGAGAAGTCCCAACCTGTCTCGGCACCCGACCTGCCATACTTGGAGGTTCATGGGACTTAGTAAGTAGGGTTATAACTAAGCTAACTATACTTATAACCCCAACTAGGGGACTTATAACCTTACTTACTAAGTCCCATGATCCTCCAAGTAGACGCAGTGCCGGAAGAAGGCGGGCATGGGTTAGGTTTGCTTTTTTTTCTTTGCGGGGGGGG